TCTTTGATGCTATATGAATTCTTCTGGTTACATTAGTTCCTTTTTCGTGGATAGCTAGCCGTAGGAATCATTCTGCAAAAAAGTCTTGTCTCTGTCATTTTATTTCTTGTCCACTGCCTTAAGTATTCAAACTGATGGGAGTTGAGTATAAATCAGACAAAGACAAAGTAGGAGAATGCTTTTATGTTGCACAATAGCTCTACCTCATTGCTCTATAAGTGTCAGCTGTCAAGCTCAGAGGCTTTTTCTGCACATTATTCTGCTTCTATGTTAAAATGTTCTTTCCTGATCAAGTCCATGCATTCAGTTCAGTGCTGTCTTAACTAGGAAACTAAGATACGTGGAAGAGCGAGAGAGCGAGAGATTATGATGAATGATAGAGAGAGAGAAGATAGAGATAGATGATAGATGATAGAGAAATAAAGAGACAGAGAGACAGAGAGACAGAGACAGAGATCTAGATACACAGATAGAGAGATGTAAAGCTGAATTTTTGAAAGAGCATTAGGTGACCCAAACATTTTGTTCCTAAATCAAACCAGGAGGAAGAAGAAGAATGACCTGTTTGAGAAAGGCCAGGAATTAGAAAATCAGGATCATTCCCTACTTGAAAGGGGACATTGGAGAGGACATAATCAAACTCCAGAGCCAAGTACACCCCAGTACTTACCGTTTAAACCTGTTGGTTGGTGGCATGAAAAAAACATATGGTTGAAATAGACTATTGACTGTAGATATGATTCCGCTAATCAGGTAGTCTCCTGGCTTGTAGAAACTGGATTTTTCCTCTCTTACCACAGTCAACGGACATTGGATTTTCATTATGCCACAGGGAAAATGGGACACCAGTAGAAACAGAAGCAGCAGCACTTGACATGCCATGATGAAGTACTTGCTATAGTGAGACACAGACACCTCTGCTATTAATGTCAGAGCTGGCTCATTAGGAGCAAAAGCCTCTCACCAGAGAGCACAGCAACACTGGCTTTAACAGTAGAAATGGAGTCCAGCTGGCACCATTTCTGGAAGGGCTTTCAAAAAGGCATAGTCCCTCCCTTCTCTCATCCCATCCTCTCATCTCTGTAGAGGAGGTGGTACTTATGGACCAAGTTTTTGAGGTTTCGAATATGAGGAGTTAGTAAACATTTCTCAGAAAAGTGTCCTAGGGGAAGAGCGAGGAATCCCACACACATTGGTGGAAGTAGAATAAATTACCATGATTGTAATAATTATAAGCAAAGTACAGAATCACAGCTATTTTTTTAACTTCACCTGTGGATGCACAGCTGGAGAAATATCTTTGTGGGACTCATAGGCATAGTTCCACTTTAAGAGACAACTAGGGAATAATTTAAGGAAGTTTGATCTTTACTCAATAAACCTATTCTTGAGACACTAAAAGTTATAATATAACAATAAAACTGAATAGTTTTTAAACAGGGAACATAATTATTCCTCCCCCTTCCCTCCATCCTGGTATGGATGAGTCCCCTTCCTATATTCAGGTCAGATGCACTAGAATCATTATCTCCAAGAGAAGATAATCAACCTTTTTGATTACACTTATCATGACATTCAGGCTGTAAAATAGGAGTGGGAAGAGAGTCAGCACCCCACAAAGCAGAGGCCTAGGACCAAACATTCGTCTCTACCACACCAACTGGAACCAGTCTTGGAGGAAGGAGAAGAACCACTGAAGATCTGTGCCACCAGTCCCAATCCCCTCAGCCAGCCCAGAAGGATACCATAATTGATGGCATTGAAAGCTGCTGAGAAATAGGGCCAGGAGGAATCCATTACCCCCAGACCAAGCCCACCAGAAGTCATCCACAAGCTTGATCAATGCTGTCTTGGTACTATATCCTGGCCTGAACCATGACTGCCATGGGTCCATAATCCATTTCTTCCAGAGCCTTTGAAGCTGTAGGCCTGTGAAGGTTCTTTGTTTTCCAAGAACTGGACATACCACAGCGTAGAAGAGAACTGTACACAGTACTTCATTGTAGCACACACCTTCCCCAACAATAGGCTGTTGCCTTGGATTAACTCCACTCTTCTAGGTTTTGTAATTTGATGTATCCACTTAAATAAGTCTTTAATGCTCAGTCCTTAAAACAAATAAAAGTCTTAAAGTTTCTAAAGTGACATATAGCCTGTGCCTCCCTCCAAAAGTTCCCAAAATGAGAAGGTTGGAGACTGAATGAAAATTGTCCAGGACTGCTGGGTCCAGTGAGGACCCCTTCAAGAGACACATGGAACCCCTCCCTCCTGCAAAGAAGTATTTATCACCGCCTGGTCCCAGCTACATGTCACCTCCCAGGAGGCCTTGACCAGGCAGGAGGGAGATGGACCTAACCACCAGGTGGCAAAACTCAATAACCCAAGGATCCTGTTGACTACCTCCCAAGTATCTGAGTCAAACTCAGTCCAAATAACCAGACAAGACTCATCCCCAGTCATCTTCACAGGACTAGCACAAGGGTTTAATTCTGAGCAGACAGAAAAGTATCATCATAAAAAAATTAAGAAAATAGTATCATCTTCTGCTTTGCTTCAATGCAAAGCAGAAGCCTTCAGCATCATCTCAATTTTATTATCTTGAAAAATAATAGTTGATCGCAATATTTGCTTCTACCTGGGAAAAAAAATCAAGGTACATTGGGAATGCAGGAAGCATCTTGATGGGCTAGAAAAGATTTGGACCTTTCCCCACAAAAAGCCACACTGCAGGTCACAGATACCCTGGGCCTTTGCAATAGAAGAGGACCTATCGGAATGGTCTGCCCCAGATGGATCCCTGAGTATCTGAGGATACTGATACAGATACAGATACTCAGGTATCTGAGGACATTCCCAATAATTTGGCAAGCAATTCTATCTCACACCTGGTTGACCTGTAGAGACAGCTAAATTGTTAGATGAGATTTATCATTTTTTTTATTTTTAAGCACCTTCATGTCAGATATTCCAGAATAACTCTATCCAAGGGAAGCCAAGGAGTGTTTATGTTTACAGTTGCCATGAAATCCAGGCCTATTCCTTCAATCTCCCTATCTAATGTGATCACCCTTGATATATCAGAGGATATAGTGCCCAGGAATTCAAGAAGATTCTTACAGGTTTTCAGGTAATGTGATCACTTTGCACACAGAAAGCAGTGGACAGTTTATTGAATGTACATAAACACAAAGATGCATGATCAGTGACCTTCAACTCCTGTTATGCTGCCTCATCCTGTTGTGTGTGGGGGGTGATCCTGGGAGGGATAAGGAAAGACCACCAATAGTCATGCCAAGAGATCAGTAAGGAGAACATACTATTTGCGACTCAGGACAGACAAAACTATGAAGGAACGGCGTTGCTTTTATAGACAGGACAGATATAGCAATGGCAGTATTTGGGTGCAATGTAATCAGTGGTCAAACAACATGAATCAGACTTTATGAAAACATTTTAAAACTATGGTTCTCCAAGTCTATGCCCCAAATATGGATGCAGAAGAGGAGGTTGATGAGTATTATGGTCAGGTTGGATCTGAAATGTAATATGCAAGCAAGATGTGAGGGTTGTTATTGGAGCCTGGATTGCTAAAGCAAGAAATAGTAAGGAGTAAAAGAGAAATGGAACAGGAGAACAATTTCTTCATCAGTAACACAGTCCTGAAATAACCAAGATGATGTCTATATACATACAGATCATAGATGGAGTACACAGAAATCAAACTGACTACATGATTGATACAAGGAGGTAGAAGACCCTGTGAAGAGCTGCTGAGAGGTTGATCGAGCTGCCAGGTTTTTAGCTTTTTATGTGTTTTCATGGCTTTTATAGTTTTATTGTTACGAGCTGCCCAGAGTCATTTTAAGATGGGCAGCCATACAAATCTTTTAAAATAAATAAATAAAATAAATAAACTATGTTGAGCTGTGGACTCTGCTTAGAAAATGAGAATCCGACAATATTTCATTGTCCTCATGAGAAACGTATACACAGGACAGGAAGCAAGTGTCTGAACAGAACAGGGCAAAACAGAGTGACTCCAGGTTGGTAAAGAAGTGAGACAAGGCTGTATATGCTCTTCTTATTTGTTCAACCTGTATGCTGAATGGATGTTGAGGAAATTTGGATTAGAAGAAGAGGAACATGGTTTTAAATTGGTGGAAGCAACATCAATAACCTGCGCTATGCTGGTCATTGATTATAAGGCTATTGGAGTGTTGGTTTACTTACACTTCAAACTCAAAGAACTGTTGAGGTGATCAACTGAGTGTGCATGTTCACCCACAGGCAGACTCTGTCCCTGGAATGAAGAGTTCAGCTGAAGACTTATGGAAAGACTTTGGGGCTCCAAGTGCCTGACTCTGCTTGCCTCTGGGTCTGACTCTGTTCACAGGTTGTGCTACAGTTTAAGGAGCCTTTTCTGATGAGCCAAATGAGAGCAAATGGGAAATATTTATTTATTTATTTATTTATTTATTTATTTATTTATTTATCAATCATATTTATATAGCCACCCATCTCACACAAAGTGACTCTGGGGTGGGGAAGAAGGAGCTTTATTGGTATTATGCCTTCATAGTAGCACACTTTTTTTTTTTCAAATTAACCATCAGATTGGCCCAGATAATCTGCAGGACAGGATGGGGTGGGGAGCAAATAACTGACTGCCCAGCTAGAGGGGGAAAAAATGTTAATGTCAACCCAGAACAATATGACATTAAAAAAAAACAAACCAAATTTCCATCATCTTTAGCAACAGATTTTCATGTCTTCTAAACATGAGAGAAAGCAAAGCTACTCTATAATGCTTTCTCTAAATTAGTTCCAGAAATACATTAACATTAGTGATATTTTATTGTTCTGTCTAAATATGGATTGTGATAAAATAAAGTAATGATTCGGAACAAAATGACCTCTTGCTACATCCGTTTCATTTATCAGACATAATTCATAGCTCACATGGGAAAAAGAGAGAGTTCTTAGAACACATAAGAAAGATTTTAGTTCCAAGCAATCTTATTTGATCTTAGCAATACTTTGGATAAAAAAATAATTGTCAAAATCAGGAGCCTTCCTTTTTTTTTCATCATTAGATGCTCCTTGGTATTCATGTCAGGTCTCCGGATAATGATGTAACATTTGGGGGCAAAGATGCAGCCCAGTAAGCCCAGGATGGAGGCCAGAATGGAGAAGATCTGCACAGCCACCATGGATTTCTCTTTGGTGCTCAGGTAACTGGGGACAAAGGAGACCCAAATGCTGCAGAAAACCAACATGCTGAAGGTGATCAACTTGGCTTCGTTGAACTTCCCTGGCAGTTTGTGGGCTAGAAAAGCCACCAAGAAGCAAATGGCAGCCAGAAAGCTCATGTAGCCAAGGGCAATGTAGAACATGGTGACTGAGCCTTCATTGTATTGCAAAACAATGTGTCCTGGGTGGGAATGCAGGTTATAATCTGGGAATGGGGGAGAGATTCCCAGCCATATAAGGCAGATGCCCACCTGAACCCCAGAGCAAGACAAGACAGTGGAGTTATCCAGAGTTTTCCCCAGCCATTTCCTCATCCTGCTGCCTGGCTTTGTGGCCAGAAATGCCACCACCACCATGACAATCTTGGCCAGCAAGCAAGATACAGCAACTGAGAAAACAACACTGAAGGTGCTTTGTCGGAGGAGGCAGATCACTTTCTTGGGGTGACCTATGAACAGCAGGGAAGTCAAGAAGGAAAGCAGGAGGGAGACAAGGAGAATGTGAGGTCCAGGTTGTTGGCTTTGACTATGGGAGTTTCTTGGTATTTAATAACAATTCCTAGAACAAAGGCAGTAGTTATGGACAAAGTAAGTGCAAAGACAGTAAGGATGAGACCCAACAATTCTTGATAAGACAGGAAACGTATCACTTTGGGGACACATTGATCTCACTTCTTATTGGCATGCTGGTCATCTGGACACTTTCTACAGTGAGCTGCATCTGAAAAACATAGTTTTTAATAGCTTTTTAATTATTTATTTTATGGGTATGCAACACCACTTTATGTACTGACCATAATGACCCAGTATGGTGTAGGTAGGCTGAGCATTGTGGATTTACTCTGTGTTTGTGATGGAATGGGATGGGAGGAGTCAAGGACAGAAGCATCTCCTCAGCCCACAGCCTGAGCATGGGAAAGCGAAGAAGAGACTGGCACCACCCTAAGGAATTCATAGTATTTAGTTGCTGGCTTGGGGAGTTTAGAGTTAGTCTGGCGAGACTGAGGTCAGGTTAAGTCCAAGAAACTCCACGAGACAGTTCTGGAACAGCTCAGTTACTTTATTAGCTCACACCT